AATCTTCAAATACTTTGGCAGTCCACTAATAATTACTTTGTTTAAACAAAGTTTTCTAGTTTATTGCTATATATGCAATATGGAATTTAAAAACCTACTAAAATCAAGACAAACTGAATGAAGAATGTAGTTAATTCCTCAGATACCTGTATGTTTTACTCTCCCCACAGTTAAACATTCTGAAACTGGGAAAATAAAATATTGTTAGACATTATTTTTTGTTAATGTTAATAATGAGAACCTACTATATCCAAGATTCTTGGCATACATTAAGTTAGTCCTTGCAATATCCCCATGAGATAGGTATTATTTCCATTTTGCAAATAGAATAAACTCAAGTTCAGAGAAATTAAGTAACTTGCTCAACATCCAGAAGTGATGGAGTTGGGTTTTAGAATATAGATCTGTCTAAACTAAAGCATGTACTGCCAATGTCAGCAATGAAAGTTCCAATGTCCATTGAACTGAGCTGTTAACATTTCTTTTAAAGGAAGAGAAGAGAGTGGAATAAACAATGTTGCTTCAATTATATTTTCTCTAAAAATACAATGAACGTATCATCAGAATAATACATACAGATACAAAACCAGACATTAATGTTAACTATAGTTTTTAGAAAATAGATTTGAGAGAGAGAGAAACATAGATGTGAGAGACAAACATTGATTGGTTGCCTCCCATATGTGTCCCGACAGGGGACTGAACCCACAACCTGGGTATGTGCCCTGACCTGGAACTGAACCTGCCACACTTTGGTGTATGGAAGATGCTCCAACCAACCGACCCGCACTGGCCAGGGCTTAACTAGTTTTGAAATTAACACCCAAGGACAGCCATTAGTGACAATTATAGTGATATATTTTTCATATAATGCACAAAATGAAGTGGTTTCTACGCTAATAGATTTTTAAACATGAAATAATTAAAAGAATCAAGCATTTAATCATATTACCTACATACACTTAAATACTTAGAACATTGTTATTTACCCAAGTTCACCCACAGTAATAAAAATATTTATCAAAAACCAGTTTTAACAACTGGCCAAATATACATAATATTTAAAGTTAAAAAAATCTGAATACTCTAGATTAAGGGTACTATACATGTAATAACAGTACAACTACAGGAGCTTGAAGAGTTTAAATTTAATTTCTACAAGTTAATAAAATAACAGACATTGAAAAATGAAAAATTGCCTTGGAGGGGTGGCTCAGTTAGTTGGAACATCCTCCCATACACCAAAAAGGTTGCAGGTTCAATTCCCAGTCAGGGCATATACCTAGGTTATGGGTTTAATCTCCAGTCAGGGCACATATAGGAGGCAACCAATAGATGTTTCTCTCTCTCCCTCTCCTTTCCACTCCCTAAAAATCAATAAAAACATACCCTCAGGTGAGGATTAAAAAAAAGAAAAATCAACATATAAACTATAAAATATAATTAATTTATACTGGTAAAGGAAAGTAAGTTCTTTTAATTAAAAAACAAATATATAAAAACTATTTAAGTGAACATCTGTTTTTTTTGCCTGTCGAGCAACCAGTCTCCCTTCTCTCGGAAATAACACTTCCATTTTCCTTTAGGAACTATATGCCTCCTACCCTTAATTCATGTGGCTTGAAACTGTATACTCCTTGCACCCCACTCCAGGGTAGGAACAAGAGCCAATCCTGGCCACACAAGGCATTCCATCGCTCTAGCCACAGAGATTGCCTCTAGGATGGGCAATGACCCAAGCGAGGCCAATGAGACCCACATACAGTAGTTTGCTGGAATCACAGAGAAACAAAAGTTCTCTCTCTTCTGAGTTTCTACGGTTGTAGGATGTAAGCCTAGTGCTATTAGTACCATCTTTCCCATGGAATGTGACTTCAGACTCTACTTTTCCACGCTGATTCCCAAACATGCAAGGAAACTAGTACTTACCTGGTGGCAGGGGAAAAGATAAATTAGGATTTTAACTTTCAATGTTTTATTTTCTATATATATTTTTCCAAAATAAACACCTATTACCTTTAAAATAGGAAATATAACACATTTAAAAATACTGCCCCTGTGTCCTAGCCAGTTTGGCTCAGAGGTTAGAGTATCAGCCAGCGGATTGAAGGGTCCCGGGTTCCATTCCGGCCAAGGGCATGTACCTCGGGTGCAGGCTCTAGTTCCAACTCTGGGGCTGTGTTCGGCAGGCAACCAATCAATGTGTCTTTCTCACATCGATGTTTCTCTCTCTCACTCTCATTCTCTCAGAAAAGCAATGAAAAAAATATCCTTGGATATTTTTAAAATTTAATAAAAATTTTTAAAAAATTTAAAAAATACTGCTCTTGTGTTTTCCTCTCAAATATGCTCAGATATCAATATTTAATGTCTTAAAGCATTAACAATTTTCTCATAATTTACCAAAGTGTACAGAACATCTATTTTAAAAGAATTAACTTTTTTCCTGGTATACTGCTGGTGGGAATGCAGACTGGTGCAGCCACTATGGAAAACAGTGTGGAGGTTCCTCAAACAACTAAAAATTCACCTGCCATTTGACCCAGTGATCCCACTTCCAGGAATATATCCTAAGAATCTTGAAACACTCATCAGAAAGAATATATGCACCCCTATGTTCATAGCAGTGTAATTCACAATAGCTAAGATCTGGAAACAGCCCAAGTGCCCATCAGGAGATGAGTGGATAAAAAAGCTGTGGGACATTTACACCATGGAATACTACGCAGCTGTAAAGAAGAAGGATCTCCTACCCTTTGGGACAATATGGAAAGATTTGGAGAATAATATGCTAAGTGAAATAATCCAGGCAGAGAAAGACAAATATCACATGATCTCACTCATATGTGGAATCTAAAGAACCTAATAAACTGATGAACAAAATAGATTCAGGGACATGGAAGCATAGATCAGACTGATGAATGTCAGAGGGAGGGTGGGTAGGAAGAGATTAACCAAAGAATTTGTATGCACATATGCACAACCCAAGGACATCGAAGATAGTGTGGAGAGGGTCTGGGGAGGAGGGTGGGTGTGGGGTGGAAGGGGTCAATGGGGAGAAAAGGGAACATCTGTAATATTCTGAATAATAATACAAAAAAATGCCCCCCCAAAATTAACTTTTCCTCTTGGCACAAAAGTAAACTATTTTTATTTTGAGTTGGGGGGAAAAGTTGTAAGTAAACTTTTTAAAAAACTGGTTCTCTTTTAAAAAGGGATATAATAACCAACTCTATATGGGGGTAAAAATGGTTAACATTCAACAAGTGCTGTAGCCTCTGTAAAAGTTGCTCAAGAGGTAAAACTAAACATTAAAAGTGGCCAAATTAGGTTTGATAACTCTCAATTAAATAACATAAGGTCTGAAGGGTCAGTTAAATCTTCCAGTTATAATTATTTTTACATAATACGGCATTATGGGAGAAATTACTATTGTTTTATTCTTAAACACTATACAAAAGTCAGTCTCAAGATGCTCCCCTTGGGCATGTAAAAAGTCTACCTACTGAATATAGTAAATGTTCAATAGGTTATAAAGGAAGGTAGCAATACACACTTTTGTCCTCTTGCTTATTAGTTTTTATTAGTTTCTCTCCCTCTTTCTTCCCCTTTCTCTCCAGGCACACAGCCCACTCCTGACCCTTTGTTTTTGCCAGTATTACTCTATGTTTTATAATCCTCAGTAATTACTGGCACTTACAAGGCGTCGTGACACTTTCTTGCCATAATTAGGTAGCCAGAGTGGTTCTTAAGTGGAAGGCGGTAATCAGGGACCTATGAAGGGTGACAACAAAGAGTCGCTGGAGGCCAGAGCCACCTTCCCTCCCACAAGTGGGTTCACACAGTAGGTTCTAAAAAGTTAAGACGGTCATCAACAAGCTCATTCCCTTGTCCAACACCAGAAAGACAGCAGGCCCATCATCCTCCCAAGATGCCGACAGGTCACTAATTTGTCACGTGGTTGAATGAAACCTAAACTCTCCTACAGTTACCCGCTCCAAACTGTTCCACTTTATCTGCAAACTCCTTTCTTCCACTGCGAGATCCCTGGCACACAGGCCCCAAAGGGGCGCTTTAACACAAACTGAAGGTACACCCAAGAGTCCACCCAAAAACACCGTGACAGAACACATCCACTTATAAAACATCAGAAAGGAGACGGGTCTGTCCAGGTACCGCAGGCAGAGAGAAACTTTTTACTCTAGTCCCTTAGCTATAAAACGCTCCCTCTACTTACAGTTCAAATACCTACAACACAGAGCAGGCATCTAAAAGAGAAGGCAAAGAAACCGTAAGCGTGAAGGTCCCAGAGACGGCAACTTAACGGACAGCCCGTTTTCAGCTCTCCCGCCAACATGCTCGGAGCCGCGGACCCCCGGCTCGCTCCGGAAACTCCCACCGTCGGGGGCCGAGGGTGGGAGGGTGCGAAGCGCGCTGGCGGCGGCCGGCGAACGGGAAGGCGCAGGGGGAGGTCACCGCCCAACAGCCCAAGGAGCCGGCACTTTGCTTTGCTCCTTCGGGTCCCCACTGGCTTTCCACTTGCTTCGTTTCGGTGACCGAGCCTTCTCCTCACCAGAGACCTAACTGTAAACTTCCAACCACACCCACAGACGCCAGCGGAACCACTCGGGTCTCCCCGGGTCCCCGGGTCGCTCGCGCGCGCGCGGCGAGACCAACGTCGGCGCCCAAGAAAAGCCAGCGGCTCGGACCTCGGCACCGGGAGAAGTTCTCCCGGGACGGGGAGAAGGGACGGGGTGAAGTGAAGAAAAGCGGAGGACTGGACGCAGGAAAGACTGCGGACTCCTCTCAAGCCCCTAAGCGGGGCGCAGCAGGGACAGCTACCCCCCGCCCCAAGACCAGAGAAGTCGCCTGATCCCAGGAGTCGCCAGACAAACGGCCGCCCTGGAGATCAGGTCCCTAAAGCTGTTTTGCACCCCCTTCCATTTTGCCTCCCGTAAATAATGGCTGTCTCTTCGCACCCTTCAGAGCGCAGCACTCACCCGTCCGTCCGCGCTGAAGCGCCAGCCGCCTCTGCGTCAAAACCTCCCTCGGCTGAAAACCATAGAGACGGAGAAACA